CTCCCTCCCTCTCTCTCCCCCTCTCTCCCTCCCTCCCTCTTTCCCTCTCTCTCTCTCCCCCCCCTCTCTCTCTCGATCGGTCGATCGATATCTATGTCTCGTTAAATGGATTTATTATTCGTCATTATCGCGAACGACCACGCGGCCTTGTTCAAAACGTTTGTCGTACGCGTGCGATTTGCCAAGTTTTTCGAATTATTTATTCTGACGCGAAATTTATTCGTGCAGCCGCGAGCCGCGACACGTCATCCGATCGAGTCGTGTCGTGGTTTGTTTTACTTACGTACAATTTTCGTAAAAATCACGCGGAGACGATGAGGCCGAGCCGAGTCAGTCGAGTCGAGCCCGACGGAAGAGAAAGCGAGCGACGATTACATTGTCCCTCTTCTAAAGACAAAAACGCACTTGGCATTAAATATGCGACACGACGCGCGTCACTCGGAAAGAAATTAGTATGCGAGTCTCCCGACAAGTTTTCCTTGCCGATCGTATACCCAAGTATACTGTATAGTTCGAAATTGAAAACGTATAGTTTCAGCGTGCAGGTGGTATTGTGGAATCGAAGGGTTCGACGGTGAATTCAACCCACTTTTCGAGAACTTGAGAGGAAATTAAACTACGCTTATCTTTTAACTATAAGCTTTCTCTCTTTATTTTTTAAGCGAATACCTTTGCACAGCATTTTCGAAAGATTAGAAATTTTTTACAAATTACTCGCTGCTCATTTTAGGAATTATTTTTAGAATCGATTTAGGTGAAAAAGTCTTTGTTGAGAAGAAGTCAAATTGACCTTGCTAAAATCGGCATCGCGGTCTAACTGGCTGCGAATATTTAAGATTAAATATGTTGCCGCACATATAGGTGCCAACGTAATTCCAAAATCGCGTATCTCTTATCGAACAATTTATGCATAATCGCTCGTGAGATGCAGTTTCGTCGCGCGATTATCCGCGCGAGATATATCGCGGTTAGATTCTTTGAATATTTTATTTTCAGGGTAATCGTAACTTTGCTCGAAGCGCGAAGCGATTATAGTGATAGCGATAGTGATAGAACAGCCCTATTCGAGGTATTCCGCTATTGTGCACGCAGCTCGCGCATATCTCCGCCTTGCGACACGAACGCGGATGCACATTTCTCGACGTGTATACATAATTTTGGATCGATCAACTTCCGCTTGACGTACACCGAGCCTCCATTTATTATTTCCATTTTTCCGCCTACTACCGTAATTTCTCCGTACATCCGGGTTGGACATAAATCTCAATTTTAGATTCTAGCTTTAATGTTTCAAGCTTAGAAGCGCGAGAAAACGAGGGGAATGATATACTTATATGGTGCCCTACTTAACTGTTTCAGCTACCGAAATTCTTCGGTGAATTTCGAGTCGATCTTTTTTCACGGAACTCTGGACGCGATCTGTTTTCGCGAGTACTTAAAATTATAGTTTTCGACGTTAATTATCTAAATCTGCAATTCAAATTTGCTTCTAAAGTCTTGAAACTTGTAAGATGCATTTAAAATTGATCAAAAGTAAAACGAGCAGTCTTTTTCGTTGTACATTTTTAAATTTTCTTATCCCATTGTTATATAGATAAGTACAATTTTGCACTTTAATTCGCCTCAGAAATTTCCAGCTTGTAATCGTATACTTATGGTTGAAAAGTTGTTGATGCTCATCATTGAATATAGTCTCTTATATATTTTGACTTTCAATAGTTAAAGGAAAACGCGTGACTCTCTGACGCATCTTGTATAATCACGCATGAGGGCTTATCGTCGACACGTCATGGCTTGACTCGAAGTGGACGCGATTAGTTGGTTCTGTAAGGCGAGAGGGCGATCCGGAATCGGTGAGCGTTAAAAAAAAATAATTGCCGATTAGTCGCTCGGAATAATTAATCTCTTCGCGGGTAAATTCCTCGGTGAATTCCTTCGCGGATTCGTGTCAAGGTCACGGCTCACGGCTAGTCGTGAACAGAGAGGGAAAAATCCACGGGAGCGCAAATGCATTAGTCCATGGCGGCCATATCATAAACTCGTTTCCGACGTTTCCCCTTCCTCCTGTTTCCGCGTATACTCCGCGTATTCGGCGTGATGAGATTCGACATAGGTGCATGCGCACACATTGTTGAGCACATAGCGGTTTGTAACGGGGAACGGTTTATGTGGTTTCTGGGATAACGGATAAACATTGCAGTGTCGACAGCTTTAAGTAACTTGATATACGTTATCGCACAGGAATTTGATATCGTTTGCGCTGTGGTATTTTCCTGTTGTTCTTGTCAACAACTATAGAAACATGTTTAGGAGATAAATATGGCAGTTAGAGTTACGTCTAGTAAATTGGGAAAAACTGAAAAAAGATGCTAATTTTTAATCGATTGATCAATTCGATATAATGCGTGGATCTTTAGTATAAAATAAGACCTCGGGGCGGGGTGGGGGTGAGCATATAAACTTTCAAAGCAGTTTTTCTTCTTTCTCTCTCTTCATAATTACGAATAGATTTTACGATAAAAAGACTTTCATCTGAGACTATCAAAGAGATTGAAAGATGCGAGAACGTTCAGTAAAAGAACGAACTTTCTTTTCAGTAGAAAAAAGTGGTAAAATTATTATCACATGTTAAAAGTATTAAACGTGTTTTGGCTCTCGTATAACACACAGAAAGAAGAAAGAAGAATATCGTAGAATCGCTAATGTTTCTTTTTAGTTCTTTCTTGCATTTCCTCCTTTGTTTGAAGTTAGAAATAAAATAACATTCGATGTCTAAACTTGTTTAAACTCGGTGTGTCTTGGATGTTTACTGTATGCACATGATAATTTCCCTGAGGGGACACAGCTGAAAAATCATCGGACGCACCCTTTGACGATCGATCGCGAGCGAGTCTTTACCAGGTCGTGAGTCGTTTTGCGCGGTTGCGGCAAGATGGCGGCACGCGGCGCGTAAACCGCGTAAACTGCATCAGGGATTTTGAACGTCGGTTTTATTTAGGTCTCTCGGTGTTCGGTGCGATTGGATTTAGTGTAGAGATAAATGCCAATGCCACCCCCGCGCACTTCTTCGAATCACTGACCCGGAAGTGGTAGAATATAAAGATAGAAGGTAATAAACACGTACAATTCTAAAAACAATAATAATTATATTCTCAAGTCATACGTTTTGTATCTACACGAAATAACTGTATGAAAAATCCAACGATAGTTGTATGTAATTTATGCGAAAAGATAAGCAAAAGAGCCATACATATCAAAAGCTGCAAAGAAAATATCGTGACATTTTGTTTGGACAAAAATAAAATGTAAGCTCACACAAATATATATGTATTTCTTATTTATCTCTACACTAGATAAATATCTCTTATTTCGTTATGTACATTGTAAACTAGAATTCTATTTACCTTTGAATATGAAACTTTTGCTTGTGCGGTGTAGTCTCTATAGTTAAA